ACATAGTATTTGTGGAATGAAAAGATCTGTTTCATTGAAAGGACCAAAGAAACCACAAAGAACATTTTTCATGGAACAGCACCCCAATAATTCTTCTCTATTTATTAAGGTCAAAGAAATCCCTACTCAAATGGAGGGCAGTGGCTTTTCATTGTCCCCCCATGATATTTAAACTTCTACAGAGGTTTGGCTGTAGTAAGCCAATTTCCATTTAGGTGATGTAAGCATTATTCCATGTTTCACAGGGTAGACTTGTGATTCTTATTCAATTCCGACCCACCCCTGCTCCAGAAACTGTACATTTAAATATTGGGAAGACATTCAACAAGCAGCTGGGCATATCTCAAACTGCTTCAGTTATAAAAACAAAAGGGTCAATACAGGCAAACAACAGAATGCCAAGCTAAGAGATCTAAACTAAGCAAAGGTCTACAAATTCAGATGCTGAATGAAATTTGCTTAAGTTTTCTTTATTCATTTAGTCAACTTCAGTATTCTAGCTTAGCTGTTTAACGTGCCTCTATTTTCTCAGCAACCAAAAAGAAAATGGTCAAAGGTTATGCATCTTCTATTTTTTTAAAGTAACATTATTTTAAGCAAGGAGATGAAGCAAATTTGTGTCTGAATGGTCACAATCCTTTGAATGCTGCCGTGGTAACTCTGTAATCCTGTCATTATTTTAAATGTTTGACAATATGACTTGGCACTGATGCTGCTGCATCACGCACACTAGTCTGGCACGTGTATCCCTTCATCTCACCATTTTTCCCTTTCCTCCTCCCTTCCCTGCAAGCAGCTAGGAAAGACAGCTGCCGAGTATCTGGGATCAGTAAGAACCTGGGTTCATGCAAAGAATAGCACCTGGTCCCTTGTTTTCAAAGGGAAGTATTCAAATGCTATCACCTGTCATTACAGAAGGAAGCGAATTCCCTGACACAACTCCATTAAGTGCTTTTCTTCTGAGCAAAAAAAGACCACCTATGCAACTCTGTCATCTTATTGACAGCTTGAATACTAAGATACAAAGTAAAGCAATGTTTCTTCCCACAGCATATCAGGAATACTTTAATAACCAAAAAGATTCAGATCAGCTTTAATCAAAGAAAGCATGAGTGGCTGTGTATTTAAGCAAGAATAACTTGTATTCAAATAATCATCACTGATGTCAAATTAACTTTCTGAGTCATTACACTTTAAATGTCAGTGAGCAGAGCATGTCATTCACTTCCATGATCTAGATCAGCATACATCCCCAGAAAGATGACAGACAGAATCAGTGTTTACTCCTCAACATGAAATCCTGTTTCTTTTTAAAGTAAAACATTCAGTAAACATTTCAGCATTTTCTTTGATTAGAAGTGATTGGGAGGGGAGGATTTTATCCACGTAATACTGACATACACAAATATATTTTTAAGTTTTTGATTCACTGAAATTAGCTGAAATGAAACACCACAAAGACCTTCCCAGCAGTATTGCCTTGCAGTTGCCTTTTTATGAACAGAAATATTATTACATAGCAAAACCCTTAAAGCTACCAATGTTGAGTAGGCATCACCTATGATCAGAACAAATAAACTCTCAGTTTCAAAAGAACAACTTCCTTTTGCTATTACAGCGGCAATCCAGATCCCAAACTGTATCTGTGTATGAAGATTCGAGTTGGAAAAAGGCAGTTCTTCGCAAACACCATCCTTTTTTTTAAGTATACTGAATAAAAGATTGCCTGTATCTTGCCATGTAAGAACAGTGCAACAAAATCTTTTATTGCTGACCAGGAAACAGTTCCACGTGATTAAAACAAAGACTTGTGCCCTTGTTCAAAAACAGTCAGATAATTAAGAAGTATCAGACACTAATCATGTCCATACAGTTTAAGTCTGCTTCCTTGTGTACAAACACAAGAAAAACAAATCACTGATTTTCTGCAAAACTAAGCCTTATTCACTGTGAGACTTTTTTGGCAAGTGAAATGAAGGAAATGGTTCCAATACAGTGAATGGCTGTCTCACGAAGTTACCTTCATAAGGAAGAAGGTTCTGCAGGAAGAGTATGTCTGAAAACTGTTCACAAATATACACAAGGAGGCAGGACTGATGAAAAGCTACACGTGACCTTAGATTTACTGCAACTCTGCAAAATACAAAAAGGTTTTGTATGAAAAATTTTAAATAAAACATCTTTTACATGATTGCAAGTGCATAGTTTACAAGTTCAGCCTTGTATGCTTGTTGTCAGTTTTACAGCAAGGATGGACAATGTTTTGACAGAAGACAAAACAGGATAAGCCCTTTATCATGTTTCACTTTTATTGAACATTTTCTGCAAACGCAGATTACAACCTTGTTTCAGGTTGCACGCATGAACTTAAGCCATGATAAACCAACACTTTCTGAAATCCAAATCCTAGTGGGAAGGGGTTAGGTAGTGGTTGATTTCTGTAGTTAGAGAAATTACAACAGTGTAACAGTCGCTCATAAAAGCAGTATGATGCAAGAGGCTCTTTGGTGCCAAAAAATTGTCAGTGATGCATTTATGAACGCTACCAAGTAGAAAGCAATCCAAATTACACCTCTTCCTCGCAGTGCTATAGAAACATTAAAGGACACTGGAGACTCCCATACCTTGAGTAGTCTGTGAAGAAATATCACCCTTAAAGAAAAGCTGTATAAAAATCAATGACAAAAAGACTTAAATGAGAAAGTATATCCTATCTTTCATCCTGAAACACAGGTCAGGTACGGCCCAGCTCTACAGCAGGCATATTAAATCATCAGATTTAAGGTGATGTACACATTGAGACCTGAAAGACCACTGCCTTAATCTTACACCCATTCATATGGGCATTTATGTGGCAATGTAGTTGCATCATCGAAATCTTCAGTAGCGCCTAAAGAACATACTGCTTACATACCAGCATGCATCCAGAACATAATTATAGGTGTCCGACACATGACTATGTAGAAACCCCAGATTTCAAGTGAAGTCTAAGAAATCCTAAAGTAACTTCTAATTCATATATCTACTGACTCGTGATTTTTTTTTAAACCGGAGAAGTGTAACAAAAATGCAGACTTACTTGTGATTTTTTTCCAAACTACAATGTATAGGCCGATCCTCGCGTAGATATACACATATATACAAAATTTATAGAAAAACAAGAGTCCTGTAGACAAGATTCCTAACTTGAGCAGAAAAACACTACATATACCATAAAGGAGAAACAGAGATAAAGGGCAAATTCTGTCATCACAAGCACTTATGGTTCCACACTAACTTCAGTCATTATTGCATGCATTAGATGCCCAGAGTTACAAGGATCTCTGGGTACAGTTGAGCCAACTGACTAAACTGCTCTTCCAGTATATCTCACTTTCAACCTGATCTAAAAGTCAAGGTACTACTTAGCATGTCAAGTAGAAGAGGAGGAAAAAAAACCTCACATGATTTGCTACAGCATTAAGTGTAGTTATTTGCACAACTTGGCTGGTTTTAACAAAACTGCAAGTTTCCATTTCAAAATCTATTCTAACTTGCACCACCTGCATGGTAAGAAACAGAAAATAAAATATGCAGCTTCTCAGACACTCATTTGGAACCATCATCTCTAAAATCAAACATTCTGTTTCTTTTAAAATGCAAGTTTGCTTCACTGAACTATCACTGCAAATCCTATTTACTTTTTAATTGTGCCTGCCTCAGTGTATTTCAGTATACAGCTGAAACATTTGCACCCCCTAGCTGTCACAGGTAAGACACAGTACTTATATCTAACTTACATTCATTTTCAACTTCAAATTTATTGAGGCAGTTTATATCAATGTATCCATAAAATAATTCAGAAATAACCCAAGTATACCATTTAAACATCTTCATGATTTATCCATTTACACACTCAGTACACAAACAACCCAGCCTCTGTACAGGTTCATCACATGCAAACCACCCATAAAGACAAAAAACTTTAATTAAAAATAAGTCACAACTCAGTGTACTGTTTCAACTGCATCTCCATTTACCAAATGGCACATTGAATATTCTCTAAAATAAGATGTTTTTAACAATCTTGTTAAAAAATTCTTGGGCAAAATATTTCTAGACTTAAAAAACATCAAGATTTTTCAAAACACTCAAGATACTATACAACTTATAATAACCTTGAAATAGGTTTACAAGGTTGTTAACCAAGGTATTTACATACCAAATAACGTAAAGCAAAAAAATCCGTATTTCTAATGACAAAAAGGTGATGCATTAAAGATTTATGAAATTAAAATTAAGGCTCTTTGTTATAGTTCTTTATGTAACTTTACATAATAGCCAACTTTGGAAATGTCAGTCTTGCACATTCTTGTCAATCTACTGCATTTAAAGCAGTAGAGTATATTAAGTATTACTTTGAATAATTACATTGCTACTTCTATGTTTGAGCATGCTTTTGAAACACTGTAATTATGAAATATTTACAATGTGTAGCCTTCAAACTTTATGTAAAAGCACAAGTATGCCTGTCTGACTTGAATACAGACAACATACTTGCAAAAACATTTTTACTTCTCAAAATTAAATGCAAATTACTGCAGTCTTAATAAGCAAACCAGCTCTGAAAAGTTTTAATGTGTGCCTGAATGTGGACAAAGTTATGTGAAATTACTCAGACAGTACTGTTTTTCATTTTAGACTGAACTATTTTTTGTATCAGACTTTTCTTTAAGCATGTAGAAAAATTAAATATTTTTTTAAAAAATTATTCCAAGACCTACATACACTTTTCTGAGCTATGCCCATAAGTTTCTTGAAAAATCAATACTGTCTAGCAGGTTGTAATGATTGGTCCACAGTTTATTTCAGGATGTGTGTTCAACTAAAAGCAACTTGCTGTTTTTCAACGTCATATCTCTTAAAAAGCACAGTGATATAAAACACTGAAGACAGAACAAAAAAATGGAATGGTAACCTAAAGATCAAATTCATTAGCCATTTCTCCTACTATATCAAAATTTGTAGTCAGAATTGTCTTTATTGACTTTATTTTTAATTTTTGTACACAAAGAAAAACATGTTCATATCCATCATGAACAAAAACTTAAAAAGGCAGAACTAGAAGACATTTGTGTCCTTCACCAAAGCAAAGCTGTGCTAAAGGTTCCAAACATTTCCATTTTTAAAATAAATATTTTCTTTTTTCATTGTCTACATTCCAGTCTTCAGAATGTCACTGGAAACTGCAGCCTATCATGAAATACACACTTTTAAACAGAGTCCCAGCTCACTGTGTTTGGTAGCTTGCCATACCATATCCAGCTTGGTTAGGTATTACAGGAGCACCTTGTCCCTGGGCAGGTTGAGCACTAAATCCACCCATCCAGGCAGCAGATGGAGATTGGCTTAAAAAGAAACAAAATGGTTAAAAAAGGAAAGGAGCAAGGAATAATAATCATGCAAGCTAGTCAAGTTATTTACAAGACAACAGACTAAGAGAAGAACATAAAAAACACACTTCCTACCCTACTATTGATATCAAAATAGAACAACAACTTCTTCTTCTCTTTAATGAGTAATTCAGGTTAAATGCTACATGTGATTCTTGAAAGTATCATACGCTTTTTAAGAACAAGGAGAAAGAAAAAGCCCCACAAACCTCGGGTACTAGTTGCATAGGACAACTGCCTCCAAAGGCATGTACATACGCAGGTGGCTGTAAGTCAACATCAGTGATGCAGAAATGCAAAAAATTCCCAACACCTAATTGGCATGAATACCAGTTTATCAGGGCTTAATATGTTTAATTGGCAAGAGATAATGAAGAATTACATAAACAAGTTATTTTAAAAGTATGTTAAAAAAATTATTGTGCATACTTCAGTCTTCGAGAGATCAAGTATTAAAAGCCCACCCAAATTCTGAAACTGCACGAGTTAAAACATCAGTATGTAGTTTCTTCTCTCCAGGGTTATGAACCCTTTCCATAGATACCTGGGCTCCCTGGTTCAGACTCTACAGTACTCACCACTTCAGGACAGAATCCAGGAAATTTTTAGGTATCGGACAGGAGCACCATCCGAAACTCTACCATAGAGGAAGTCTTTGTGCCCTGAGTCTCAAAACACCCATACATATAAAATCTGTTATTGAGTACAAGTCGGAGTGACTCACCCCATTATGCGGTCCATGTTAGTCACTAAACATAAGCTTTAAGTGCATAGGAGTCCACCTAAGGCTTGAAACCTTGTACAACCCTTGAACCACATGAGCCTGAAACTCAGATATAACATTCTGGGAATATTCTAAAAAATTAAATAAAATTACTCACTCTACTCCAAAACCCTGTTGATTCCATGCTTGGCCATACATTCCATACGATGGTACTTGCCACCCATTAGCCATATATTGCCCGTACTGTTGTGGATTTCCATATACTTGGCTCCACTGCCCCCACTGACTGTAATCCACCTAAGAAGAGAATAATTCATAGTACTTCAGGTTCTGGAGATCGATTATGTTCCTTTTGTGCTGCTGAAAGCAAAATTTTTGGCCATAACAATCACAGGGCTAAAACGAGCAATAACGAGATCAGAAAAATAAGACATCACTGTGTCTTAATTAGATCCTTGTACTGAAATACATGTTTGTGTGTGTTTGAAATACCAAAGATTATTTGGTTGGATAGCCGCCTAGTCTGCAGTTAGTGAACTAACAAGAATCAGCATTACCTCAAAGTTTCTCCCTATCTTGAATCATATCCAGAAGACAGTAACAGATATTCCATCAAAATCACTAGCCCAGTTTGATGAACAACTGCAACATAACTGAGACAGAACATCGAATTTCGTAAGAACTCTACCACAAAATTTACCTATTATAACTGGGAAGGCATTACAGGCACATAGAGGATTGCTTTTCTAATAGAATGAAAAGGTTAAAGCGCAGTTACCTGTTGGAAGTTTTTAGTCATATCAGGGGATTCTTTACCCCAATAACATTTAACAACATGTCCTTCAATTGTGGTTCCATTAACTGAAACAATAGCATGTGCTGCACTTTCATGGGTTGAAAATCTAAAGAACGTAAAGACAAACCAATGTTATGCTTTATAGTACTTTCACCTGATTGTTAAAAAACAGTGACTCCATACATACAGGACATCCAGAGAAAAAGATCTGCTTTCACAGATAATTCATCTTCTCAGGTAAAAAGATTGGTGGCCACTTTTAAAAGTTCCAAATTTTTCTATGAACATATGGTGACAGCTTTTAATGTATCAGCAGAAGTTCGATCAAATGAAATTACAGAAAGACAAAACATTACTACATGAACAAAGTCACAGATTTTATTTTTCTCTGTCCATACCTGACAAATGAGTAACCTTTTTCTGGGAACACCCTTATTTCCATAATCTGTCCAAATGGTGAAAAAGTCTGTCTCATAAGTTGATCTATAACATATAATGTTTTTGAATTAGTAACCATCTTGGTGTCCAAAAAGCTTCAATAATAAAAAAGCAATAAACCAAATCATACCTGTTAGCCCAGAGGCAATTCCTCCACAGTACACAGTACAATTTTTTGGACTTGACTGATTTACTACATCTTCAAATCTCAATTGTTTTGTATTATCTATAAAGAGAGAAGGCTGTTTTGAAGCAGTAGGTTAACAGTAACCACAGAGCCCCAGATACTTACCTTGTACCCAAGTACGAATTGTTCATTTAACAAACACATTCAATATTTTACGACAGACCAGTAGTGCCACAACTACATTGATATAATATAAAAAAAAAAAAAAAATCTATTCTTTAAGACCTGGAAGTCAAGCTAAATATGTAATTAAAGCGACATGATTTTTGCAATATTCTATTTTATTCCTTCATTGAACAGTGCCATGCAAGAGAGCAAATAAAACATGAAGGTCTTACTTTCTTGTGTACTTTTGGGGGCTGGTGGTTTCCGTGTTGCCCAGTTAGTTCTGATCTGACGGCCTCCCAACCACTGGCCTCCCATGTGTACAATAGCATTTTCTGCATCCTAAAGAGATGAAAATAAAGACTGTAACACATCCAAACAAGAAGTATGTACAAGTCTACCTCTAAGAAAGACTTAGTTGTCAGTTACTTCTGTTGACAAAACAAGTAACAGTACTAAAAGGTATATGAAATTCTGAACAAACACAGACAGCAAGCAGCCAAAAATGAAGTACCATCAAGCCAATCGCTTACAGAGAAAGCCCTCAAGTGATTTGGTAAAACCTTCCTCCCACCCCCATTTTCTACACACAGGTTAGAAGCCAACTACAATCATACATATACTACCTTTACACAACAAGCATCTGGACTGGAATATTTGAAGGCTGCCCAAAAAGTACAGAGGTCATACAGATGCCAGAAACAACTATTGAAATAAAACAACTATAATTTTAATTATAGAAAAAACAAATTATTTTGCCAGTTGATTGTATTAAAAACACAATACACAAAAGTATATTTGACAGTAATAGATGAGAAGTCAGGAAAGACTTTTTAATCATCAAAATCCCTGACTGACAAGTTTCTCAGATGTAACCCAACTAACGGTTATACCATGAAGTACATGTTTGCAAAGACACTGTATAATAAGACCTGAATGTGTTTTTTTAGAATCATTATGTGCATTCAGCATAATAGGCCAAGTTTAGGTAGAAAACCCATAAGCTCTGGGAAAGCGGAATAGTAGTTACTAGGAAACAGTGATGTTGAGATACAGATTGAGCATTTAAGTTTCCTTTTATTTACTATTTGCACACAGCCCTGGTCCCATCCTCTCTTCTGCCCTCTGGAGGCACGCAACTTATGTCTGAGCACAAACTGCTTTGTAAGTTCTGTAAATATTAAAGTTATTGTATAAAGACACACAGAGTCCATGGCCCATGTGGCTTAACTTCTTATCTTGAGCATGAATTAGAAGACAATCTTTAAGTTCACATTGTAAGCAGAAACACCCTGTAAGCAAGGGATAAGTTTGCTAACACTTGCAAGAAGCAATTTTTTCCCCAACTGCTTTGAAAGCAGAGAGGCAAACAGTAGGCATGTTTGAAATGCTTTTCCAAGGGCACAAAGCTTAAGAAAACGTCAAGCACAAGGGAAGAAGAGAACATATGGACAAGGTAAAAGGTGAGTGCCTGGTGTTGTCCTCCCTCACACTGAAGGCTTCCAGCTACAACAGACTCATCTCAAATCACTCAGGACCTTGATCCTCCTAAGTTTTATTACAGAGAGTACTCATTTTGAAGACAATACATAAATACAAAAAAATTATGAGACACAACCAATAAGAAAAAAAAACCCTAAAATACAAAAGCAAACCATCAGACAATAAAAAAACCCCAAACTTATTCAAGCACCCTCACTCCCAAAGCATAACAAGTAAGTTACAAACCGACTAGGAAAGGAAACTAGCTCTAATGAACCTTGCTGCCAGTCTTGAGGATCATAGCGATGACAAAAATGGAAGAGAGTCCATGCCATAACTGTTCCAGTTCAATGTAGGAGTTTAATTTTCTTCTAAGCGTGGTGTGCATTAAGATCTCAGGCTGGAGTACCTGAAGTCTGGGAACATATCCCACTTTCCCAATTCTAACAGGATGACAATAAATTCCAAAAACTAGGCCTTACACTATCAGCTCAGGAAGATCGTGCCATAACCCTATAGGTGCAGCTGCTGTTTTAATGAACAGTAATCAGGACATAAGTTTTAGAAGTACTTTTTATTACTACATTTAGAATTCATCCATTAATTTTGCAGAATGAATACAGATTTTAAATTGGAGCTTTTATGGCTCAGTCTTAAAAGAATCCAGTAGCTTGCATTTCATGTAACTGTTATAACATTTCCCCTATGGTCACCGAAACCAAACACAGTAAGGGAAGAGGTGTCCAAGGAAATAAGAAATTGATTCCTCTTGTCTAGTTCAGCTGCAACACAAAATAAATGAAGTGCAAGTGGAAAAAGACACTAAATCAAGGTATTCAACTGTAGCATCTTATGGCATTTGCAAATCTGAAGAAAAGAAATTCCAACTTTTTCTTCTGATTAAGATTCCATTCCGGATAAGCATTACAAAAGATAGAAAGAGAGTCTTGATATGTAGGACTTCTGACCACACAAACAGGCTTAAATGCCTAAAATCCTTCACTGTATGTGTTTTTCCTATGCAAAATATTTAAGGAAAACTGTGTAAACAGTTTTCCCATGTTGTCCTAAATGTACCTCTAAACTCGTACAGCTCAATTTTTCAATTAATTTTCACAAATTTCTTAGGCTGTCAAGCATTTAACTTCCAAATTCACAAATTGGTAGGGGTTGGAAGGGACCTCTAGAGATCACCTAGCCCAACCCCCCTGCTAGAGCAGGATCGCTTAGAGCGTGTTGCGCAGGATGGCGTCCAGGCGGGTTCTGAATATCTCCAGAGAAGGAGACTTTTTATATTAAAATTAAAAATTAAATTACCAAGAAATATTTGTTGAGTCAATTGTATTGCTGTAAATATTAGGGCATAGCACTATTTTTATCAGTACTATACCGATCAAATTCTACAAATAACATCTCTAATATCTGTATCAGAAAGGGATACTAGTCACTTGTCAGAAATATTTTTTCCTAAGCATACATAACATTATCCAATGTAACAACACCCAACACAAAGCCAAGAACCACCTTCAGTTTTACAATGTGCATAAGCAAAATGCTTTAGAAGTGCAGAATCAACGCTTAGCTGCAAATTAATTGCTCAACACAAAGAATCATCTTAGATTTCAAAACATTCTAACTCAAGCAAAGGACCAACCAAGAACTTTACTGAGATGCAAAGCTCAAGCAAATATATCCAACCATACTTCAGTATATGACATGCTTGGCTGCATTAGGTCCCCAGAAAGACTCACTTTGGCATGAACCTGAACCTGACAAACCCCAAGCCCTGCTGCGAAGCGTGGTACTGCGCTCCAGGATGTCGCTTTGCAGGGGCTCCTAACTCAGCACGTGGAACCACACCAGACCTGGCGCGGTGCCTCAGCTACGAGGCCCAAAGCGCCACAGATCGCACGAGGACCCAACTCACTGTAGGAGAGATGGTTCCACAGACTAAGCTGAATTACCCTAATATACCCACACATGCTTCCTATGTTCAGGAATCTTCTTTCATAATGTTCCTGAATCTTTTTTTCGCAATGTTCTCATAGCATCGCTGTCACCTGAATTGTTTCAACCCTTAACCATAAATAATTGAAGTTTTTCACTAAAGTGAACTTGTCCCGTACATGCAAATTTATTTCCCTTGGGAAAGTCTCATATGTAGTGAATATATAAACAAAGAGGCAAAATTAGAAGTGGAAAATAGGCAATTATTTTAAAACTACATTGTGATTACTCACCAGTTTGTTATAAAAAGATACAAAACCATAGCCTTTTGACTTTCCAGTTGCCATATCTTTAACTACCCGTGCATCCCTGTGAAAAGAAGCACAGCTATATGAGGGTTATATTAATAACCTGCAAAATAAAAACTAAAAGGAACCACACACACTGTATTGTGAGCATAATTTTTTCTTATAAATTCAGTTAGCCCTAAAACTACAGTCATTCCTGAACTCTCCCTATTGCTTCTTTACCTGTTAGAAAAAAGCAGTAGGACAAAAAAAATAACATGTAATAAACATGCAACCTATCCACATAACCTATACTAGCTAAAACTAGAATGTTCAAATTTGAAGTATAAGAGAAACAAAGTTTCCTTTTCTAATATTCTATTGGCTAGGGTCCTCTAAGGTTTACTGTTCTATAAATTACTGTAACAATTCTATCTAATTTACCATGCATTTTCTAAATAGTTAAATGTCTTCTGCCTAGTGATACAAAATATATGAAATATTAAAAAATCGAAAAAGAGGAAAAAATAGGAATTAAAAGGCATACATGGCCTGTTAACAGATTTCTTTATTTTTCTTGGTCAATTCTCTACCATCATTTTGGAGTTTGGGCAGCTGTAAATTTTGAAAAATTGACATTTTCAGAAATTTAAGAAAGGAGAATAAAACTAACAACAATGCTAAGCACACCAGTACGAAAACAACAAATTTACACAGAAATTTTAGTGAGTAAGTTAAAATGATTGGAAATATAGAACTGCACTGAATATAGAATGTTAAAATGTAAATACTAAAATATGTATATATAAATAATGTATAATAAGAATAAATAGAAATGAGAAAAAATCTACAACTGAGTTCCAGTGTGCACAGTTCCTTGCAGTTAGCCTTCAAGATCCTGTCCATTCTTATGAGCAATTCTGCAAAATAACCAGAATGCTATTACTTTTAATTGTGACTTGGACTTTAGAAAAACTGCAGGTCTCAGGTATAAATATAGATTGAGAAACAGAAACCTGAATTATTGTCTTTAAATTGATTTTTAAAACAGTACTACTTACCACAATAAGAGACAAAAAGCAAAGTAAACAAAATAGCAGAGGTAAGAAATAAGATTTATGATTCATTTAAAAATATGCGTACAGAACAAGAGAAAAATAAGAATTTTGTTCTTAGAAATATATTCCTGTAAAGTAGTACAAAAACATTCATGTGCAACTTTGAAAGATTTTTATAAACTGACAGAAGATTAACAGACTTTTTTTTTTGTAGCAGTACTCTTAAGGATATACATACTTTAGCACTCACAAGGATTCTTGTAATGTTAAATATGTTCAATTAAAACACCAGGTGATTTAGTATCACCTGAATTATCTATGAGAACTTTAAACTGGCAGAAATGTGCATATATTGTAAATCCACCGTTCTTTCATTTAAATATTATAATCTTAATTCATCCCCTGTTATCATCCAAAAAAGTAGATTTCATTCTCATAAATATTAGCTTTTTTCAAAACATTCAAAAGTTATTTAACTAGCTGCTTCATAAAATTATATTCCAATTACCCAGTTTTCTATACTGCCTATGAAACGTAGTATGAATGCATACAAAATACACTGAGGATGCAACATATACCACTTGTCAAGTCACTATTCTGTACACATTCTGAACAAAAGAAAGTCACACTTAGGAACAGTAATTAAATTTTAATAAGAAGTTGAAGGACATTAGCATATAAATTAGGTTAAAAGCACATTGCTTTCAGCAAAACCAGAGCACAATTACATTACTGTATTTACAATCATGATAGATACTGAGATGAAACAATAACCCCTCTTTACTGCCCACCCAACATAAAGAAATTAACATCAGAAAAATTGTCTAAAGAGATAAGAAATAACATTTCAAATCAGAAACAAATTTTCACTGTCATATTTTCTAACTGATATTGGAAATGTTTATCATGATACTTACGATATTTTACCAAAAGGAGCAAATGCTGACTTGATGTCTTCTGTTGTTATTTCTGGACTTAAATCCCCAACGAACACATGGAAGTGATCTGAAAATAAATAATTTACTAATAAAATATTTAACTGCTATCTAAAATTTCAACTCCTGAGAAAGTGATGCTCTGCACACCGCACTGGGAACCAGGAACGCCCAAGGATTCCAATTGATGAGCAGCAGCAATTTAATCTGTCCACTCCAGTTTCCCCAGTTGTAAAGCAGAAACAGAAGAATTAGTTTGCAAAATTCTATTAAACACAAGATGGGAAGGAGAAAAGTTATATTTAAAGGACAAATTATTACCACTTTGTGAAGTATTTGTGTAGAAGTGATACTGTGGCATTACTTTACTTACTGGATGTATCTTTTTTCTGGCTACTTGGTGTTGTTGCCCAGTTTACTTTGACCTCCTGAAAATAAGTATAAGATTTAGTATAAATTCACAAAATTCTTACATTCTATAAGTTCGTTCAAGGGTGGGTTACAACTGTCAATATTTACAAATCATCATTCAATATGAAACACTGTAGTAATTAGAACATCTCAAACGGTATGTTTCCTCAACAAGATTTACTTTTTTAAAGTACTATTCTAACAATATTTAACCTTAGTAAACATGTTCAGCAAAATGAACACCCCACAGTTTTATTAATATTTTTACACAAACCTATAATCCTTAAATCTAAGATTACAATGTAAGCAACTTACCTTTCCCAAAATTTTTCTCCCATTCATAGCAGCTAATGCAGCAGCTGCATCTCTGTGTTCATAAAATTCCACAAAGCAATAAGGGTCATTGCTTGTATGCTGCAAAACAGAAAATCCAACAGAAGAGTTGACCCTTCTGCTATCGGGTTGCTGAGAAGAAAATCCAGGAAAATATATTACTTATAGCTAGAAACTTTAAGAATGATTTGCATTAGATTTATGAAATAGCCTTTGACATTACACTTAAATGCAAGAATTATTAAGATGGACCTTTTATTAAAGGTCTAGCAATTTCTGAAGTATAGTTTACTTTATATGAGGGCTCAATACTTTAAGTTTACTGAACTAAAAACAATTCAACTATCAGAAAAGTGATCTGCAGACTGGATGGAAGGGGGGAAAACGGGAAGAATGGAGAGAAGAACAAAAATGGTCTTCTATATGCAAAGCTTGAAAGGTTTGATCCCCAGATACATTTTTGCTAATTTTCTCTCTCCTGCTACTTAAGAAGCCTTTCCCTTTTATTTGCCTGAAAATCACTAGCAGACAGCAACCTAGAAGTTGCATATTCTCACTCTCAATTGAAAAATGTTATACCCAGCAACAGGGAAATATCCCTTTAAAAGGGCTCAAAATAGTTTAACTGACGAAAAATATATTAATCAATTGATTATTACTCTGTTAAATCCTGGGTATAGCCTTTTTTTTGCAAGATGGCCTATCGAATCACCTTAAAAAATACGGACAAAGCTCACTGAAGTATTAAATGTACCAGAGTTTTCTGAAAAGCTGATCAAGTGGAAATGATGATTAGAATGCCAACTTCAACATTGGATTTAATCTGCCTAAAAGATGTAATAAGTACAAAAAACTAGAGCCTTACACTGAAGTATCTACATTAACTTCTCTGCACGTACATGGACCAAAAGATGATAAATACTAATATTAAACTAAAATTATTTCTTGCATGGACAGGGAAGGGTGTAGTACATAAAGAAACTGCTTTGGCAACAGTATTCTTGTGTATCGACCTCCCCCAGCGTCAGACAGAGGATAGCTCTACCACAAGTTAAGAGTAGGCCTTTACCAGTTTTACGATTTAACTTCTGAGAACTCATGCACAGTTTTATGGACAAAGAAATCCTAATTCTGCCCCATAAAACTGGATTGTGTATCTTCAAACATAGTTCTGTCTATACCTGAACAAGGGAAGCTATTAAGATCTAACAGCTGAACCAACCATGAGGCCTTTGTATACTTAAACGATAAAGTAGTCTGAAGTCATCCTTCTAAACGCTGTCAGCACTAGGTGTCTCTAACTGATGCAAAATGAACAGACAAGAGAAAATAAACTTTTTTTATAATCTCAGGTATAAATCACAACACCTTTGAAGTGCTCCAAAAGCACGGTCACCCCATATGCCCCAAAACAGGAAGTCTTAATTTACCCCCTTCCCATACTACTTTCCTGCTGCAATGAAAACAAGATTTGGAAAACACATTTAAGGCCATAATAGATTTAGTGCAGTTTACACTTCAACTGAAGCGTAATTTTACTTTTACATTGGG